GTAATGGTGATTTGAAGCAGGAAGCAAGATTTAATCAGGGAAAAACTCAAAGGAACGAATTAATAGTTAAGATACGTAGATGAAGAAAGAACGGGTTAAAATAATAATTAGATGCCGTAAAATTAATTCAAAGAAAGCTCAAGTTGTAATCGAACCTGAAATAACCCAAGTAGGATTCATAAAAAATAGTAAGACTAGATTTTCAACCTCACCAGCCACATCTGGAGCAATATGACTTTATGTACTTTTTGAAATTTTCAATATTCCATAGAAGTATTCTCGAATCATACCTCTCTAAAATGCCCACATCATTACCAAAATTCAAGCTTAAGATTCGACATGATCGCATTCAAAAATGGCTATGTGTTATTGAATAGAAGACAATTTTATGACATATCTTTATGGATGATCGAAAATGTGAAATAAATTAATATCAGGTTTGAGCAAATTTCTTTATATAAACACAAATGGCGGAGCTGAGATACAGAAAAGTACGTCCCACAGTCTAGATCAGTCTATGTTTTTAGTAGTGTTGTGACACCGACCAGTTTATGAGAATCGAATACAGTGTTCCACCATATGTAGCAGTCTTTTAACCTTATTGGTTAAAAGACTGCTACATATGGTGGAACACTGCATAAAGTGTTGATTATTGACCAACTTTTTTATTTTTGCATCGTATTTGTTTCAAGTGATGAAAAATAAGTTTTGCGTGCCAACGGAAAACAAAAAAGACAGTGGTTATCACAAAATAAGAAACAAGTGCCAACGTCAAAACTAGGACTCCATCCAAAGAAGCCCTTGTTCTGTGTATGGTGGAATATGAAAGGTATCGCCAATACAACATGGACGGAATATCATAAAAATGGCTAAATGTTAAATAAGCCTGATGATTACTTTTGTTAAGTCTTTTATTATATTATTATTGTTTGTGAACAAGTGATCTCTTTTATGGACTTAATGAGTGTATAAATTATCAACAAATTAAATATAGCTCGTAATTACATTAATCCTATATAGACTGACAAAAAAGTTCAATTTAAAATTAACCATGATAAATATTTTTTGTTCAATGTTTAAAACAAATTCTATAATTATGAGTATTATTAATTTTGTTCTATGTAATAACTGAAGGAATGGCACGAAATACACACGCACACACACACACACACACACACACACACACACACACATATATATATATATATATATATATATATATAGTGTCACCGTGCTGTCAATGAAATCTGTTTACAACTTTCTGTGATTAAACCTTTCTAATGCACTCATATATGACAAAATAGTCATTATAAGGCTGGTGATATTTTACACCATATATATTATACAACAGTCATTAAATGGTTTGTAATATACTTTGTTCCATCTCACCTTCTCTCCAAGCTCATGCCGAGCATCGCAATACTGTCCTCTTGGCAACGCAGATCACTCTGTAGTACTTACTGATGTTTAATTCCAATCACTATTAGACAGGAACCTCTTATTCATAAGACCGCTTTCCGTTACTAGCATACTGCTTGGGATTCTCTCTGTGACTTTCTTCGAAACACCACTTGGATTGACATTTTTAAACTTCATATTGAGAATTACGCCACTGAAGTTTCCTCTTGGATCAAAGCCGGCATCGCTGCTTTCATTCCTTTTTGGAAATACCAGGTGAAACTTCAATCTTTTCCATGATTCACACCAGCATGTTCTGCCACTAGCCCATAGGAACCACTATTTCCGATTTTATCTCGTCCTGGGTAAGACGTTAAACTACGTCCAGCAGCAAGGTCTCTGATCAGGAGGTTTTGAGGAGCGTGGAACCACCTCTTAATTGCTGGTGTTCTCAGGTCCACCCTGACCTGGGGTGGTAGCACCTGTTAGGGTCCCAGCTATGGGCAAATAGTTAACTATTACCAGCAATACGTTTTTGAAAAGAATTATTACCAGCAATACAATTTTGAAGGAAATATATTACCAGAAACAGATTTTTGACAAAACAAAATATCACCAGCAATAAAAAAAAAATTGTCGGCATTAAGTAACCCATTGAGGCTGATATGCCGTAAACCAAAATAAACCAAACCAAACCAAACCAAACCAATTTTATCAGCGTCACAGTTCCCACTACAATGTAAACGTGTCCTCGAAGGAGTTAAGTCTCTGTTCGTTGAGAAAATGAGACACCGCATTGCATGTAACAACTTTGGCTTACGTGATTACTGGTGACTCTGTAATAATGTGTTAAATAAGAGTAAGTTTTCTATCCCTCATCTCTCTTCAATCAATTTAAAGTGCTAACATCTTCTGATGATAAATCTGAATGTATTGCCCGTAAATTCTCATTAAAGTTTATTCTTGACTCCTCTGGAATATTCTTCAGTCTGTTGTTAATTGGGGCAAAGGATGCCTTGTTAATTTTAACGCCTCCAAAACAAAATTGCTCTCTATTAATCATCTGAGAGACCCACTTCTGCCTTCCATTAGCACGGCTGTGCTAACCTCCAGGACAGTGACTCGTTACGCCTTCTTAGGCTAACGTTCTCGGCTGACATGTTGTGGAGAGATTATATTGAATCCATTGCGAGGTCAACTACTAAGAAAGTTGGTTCACTGTGTCGTGCTAGACAATTTTTCTCTCCTGAATCTATCTTGCATATTCATAAGTTTACCATTCGTTCAGGCTTACAGTATTTCTGCCACATATGGTCCGGAACTCGCGCTTTATATCAAGAGATCCTTGATAAAATCCAAAAAAGAATCAGCAATATTATTGGTTCTGATCTGGCGTATCGGCTTCAGTCACTTTCCCAACACTGTAAATTTTTCCTTCCTGTGCCTTTTCCATAAATACATTCATGGTAATTGTTCAGATGAGCTCTTCACTGTGCTACCTAGAATTTATGAATTTAAGCGCAGTACTAGACTTGCGACGAAGTCTCACCAATTTACAGTTGGGTTGGTTAGATTTAACCGTAAGTTCTATGCTAACAGTTTCTTTTCTCGCACTTCACGCTTTAATCTTCAAAAAAATAAATGCAATGTTAATCGCTATCTGCTCTCCTCTTGATTACTCTTCTTTTGTTCTCTCTCCTCAGTAACATTTTTGTTTTCTAATTCTTCCACACCCAGTAATCTATTGTGTCTCAGTGACTTTACTGCCTTCGTTAGGGCGAACTTTCTTATATATATATATATATATATATATATATATATATATATATATATATGATGCATGTTTCATTAAATAATATAGACAAGTTTTGTCTATTTTATGTAAATTCTTTTCATATTGTCTGATAAGTTTAATAACATTATCATTAAAAGACGAAAGAAAATCACAAAATTGATACGTATTTTTAATCCTATCTAAGCTTAGAAAGTTAAAAAATATGTATCAATATTGTGATTTTCTTTCTTCTTTAATGATACTTTAAGCTTATCAGATGATAGGAAAAGAATTTACATAAATAAATAGACAAAACTTGTCTATATTTATTTAATAAAACATGCATCAATGAAAAAATATATACACCACACACACAATATATATATATATATATATATATATATATATATATATATATATATATTACAGTAGGTGTTAAAATGTAAAAACGCCATCATTGTTACGCCATTTTATGTCTCTTTATTTAAAAGATATCACCCATTATATTATCGAAGGAATTATAAACATTATTGATTTTGTTGTGTCTGATTACGTATAAATAAGAACATGGAGGTAATTATTATATAGTGTTGATGATTATTAAAATTACCAAAGGGAGTAAACATTCATGAATTTAATACCTTAAGTTGAGTTCTTCCTATGATAGAGCGTGACACCAAATCATAAATAATAAATAAATACACGACTGTAATTATTTTATAATTTTCAATATGATAAATGATGTCGAAATGCTGTTGTAGAGAGTTTAAAATTTGTTGAAAATCAACATGCCAGGCATAAATTTTAGGATTTAATTGGTTTGTGAAAACTTTGTTTCCAGGATAAGATATAGTAGTTGGAGAAGCTACACATCCTGAAACAGGATGCATGAAAATTAAAAAAATCCTCGGAAACTTTAAACCAGGACACCTATGCGTTAATGTAGAAATACATAAACCCGGACTCCCACAACGACCAATCATTTTTCAGATTCCAACTCCTATTGACTATCAAAACTCCTCTATAATGCCATTCTCTCTCTCTCTCTCTTTCTTTCTCTCTCTCTCTCTCTCTCTATATATATATATATATATATATATATATATATATCATTTCATCCCAGGCAAGGTAATAAAGTCAATAAGACGCAAGGGGGGTGGTTACCGAGTGTTATAGAATATGTGAATAAAATATTACGGAAATAAAACTATAAAAGAACATGAATTAAGAAGAGAGAAGATAACGATTGACATTGCATTTAAATTTTTGAAGATCAAAGTTGATTGGGAAGCAAGAAGCCCGGAGAGAGTTCAATAGGAAGGTTAAGAAGATCATTCCAAATGGCGTCTTGAATAAAGTCATGAAATGGTTCACAATCAATATGCTGATTACGGAAAGTAGTCTTGTAAATTGGACGTTTCTTTCTAATAGACAACATAAAAAATATTAACAGATAATACAGTGTGAGGTAAAGAACAAATTAAGTAAAGAATAATGTTGATCAGATTTATTAAGGAAACGATTAGGGAAATCCACTATTTGACTGAACGGAAAAAGTCTGAATACTGGCAACATCAGTAACATTAGAATGCTTAAACTACTTGACATGATGATGATTAAAATAACCAAACACAAAAATGTTTGCAGATGAATAGAGAGTGTCCCATTTCTATATTATCAGAAATTTTGTTTAATATATTACAGCCCTGAGAAGAAGAAGAGCGATAAATGAAACAGAGATAACTAACAGAGTGCAATAACGAATGTCGAAAGCACATGAAAAAATCCTCCACGTACTAAAGAGACAATCGCTTTGCAATTGAGATATTTAAAAGAGAGAGAGAGAGAGAGAGAGAGAGAGAGAGAGAGAGAGAGAGAGAGAGAGAGAGAGACCTGTTTGATTGGGCCGATGTGAACAAATCTAAATTAATTTTTGTTGCTCATTACTGACTTTCTCGTTATTTCACCTGTAGTATATCAGTTATGAGCAGCCGTTTAGATTATGGCACAATTATACAGGAAGTGTTATTTGGTTCAACTTTACAAATCCTAAAAACTAGATGTCACATAAAGAGTGGCCATTTTATGAGAAAATTACTATTCTGAATCAACGCATATATACAGACATATTTTAACACAAATCCGGCTGGCATAAATTAATGGAGTATTGCAAACAGTTATCAATAAATAATAAAAAAATCAATAAGTATTAAATGTTATTGTAATTATTAAGTTTGTAATAAGGAAAACGGATGTGCAGGTAGTGTAACGGTTATGGAATTAGCGAGCCGAGTTCAAATTCTCCACAGGCTGCCGTATTCACTTTCGCACAAATAACAATGGAAAAGCATGGTTCATCTCTTATGCCAGCTATAGGTTAAATAGTAGACTGGGTTCTCTAGCCTTGAATGGCAAACAGTCTTAGTGAAAGAAAGCTGTCTATTCTAAACTGTTATGAAAGCAATGACAACACTATCTTTTCCAAGAAAGAATGATAATTTGCGGATAACGAAGAAAATGAGTCAATGAGAGAGCTATGAATTGCTACATCCTAAAGAGTAGGTACCTCCATGAGATCGCTACAAAAAAGGGCATAGCATGATGAAAAAGACGCCAAACTTGACGAAAACAAAATTTTTTCGTCTAAATGTTTATGTTATTATTAAGAGGAAAGATCAAAGTATTTTGGGGTATTTTTTTTTACATTTTTTAATCGTTCCTAGGGCGTCCGAAATTTTCATTAAAACCTTGTTTTTTTGAGTCAGCAAAATTGACAAATAAGCAATCATGTCAGCCATTTCATAAAAAAATGAAAATCTCAGTTTGAAATTCCTTTAAAAATCAATTATCATTTTTTGAAAACTTATTTTAAGAAAATCAGAAATTATAATGTTTATTTAAAATATTTTGAAACCAGCATTATTTAGTTTCTGCGTCGAAATGGTGTAGTTTGAAAATTAAAAAAAGCAGGTCATAACAATTTGCGTCACTTGACGTATTGACGGATTAAGTGAGGATAATTTGTTCTACGGAAGAAGAGAAGAGAAATTATTTATATTTAAGTGAAAAATTATTTACCTCGTTATTTTTAACGAAAACTTTCAGCGCTCTAATTTCTTTTTGTGCTTAGCTTTCACTTTACGTTTACGATGCTTTATGAAAAATATATTATAAAGAAATTAAAATAAGGCTGCTAAGAGTGAGATTAAATTTCATATTTCATAAGAAAGATATCTAATTAATTTATAAGTACCTTTCTTATGAAATTTTATCAGAAGTGTACATAAAATACTATAATTTTATGTACATTTATTACATTTTACTGTGTTATTTGTATTTCCATTCATTTTATTATTAATTTTGATATTTCATTTATGGAAAAATGTCATAACTGAGATTAATATAAAAATAAGACCATATAAATTTCATTAATTTCACACGTATTTCGCAAAAGTAAAGGCCTTAACAGCGGAGAACAATACTTAACTCAAATAACGCAACTTAATTGTATTCTGGTTGGTCTTCCGTACTTTATAATTACAGCCCAATTATAAACACAAAATTGCATTTCTTAATTACTGTGTGTCTTCTGATTACTCAAAATGATACAATTTACAATGTGGTAAAATGATCTATCTCATAAAGACATTTACGGAAACTGGATGCGGCTTTTAACTATTTTATGATATTTTAACAACTTAAATGTAAAAATCTATTATAATGAAAGAAATAACAATAATTGTATTACAAATTCATTTTTCATCGAAAAAATTTTTTGCTTTCAGAAAATATTGTCCATATTCATAAAAACAACTAAAAGCAATTTGAAATTAAATAATATCTTTGTTTTATTGAGTTTTGTATGTTACAATTCAGAGTTGATTTTCAGGTAGTCGGGGGTCGATTAATAAAAAAAAACAACATGATTTGCATTCCTCACACCCTTGTGCTTTTAACTATTGTAATCACTAAACTGTATTCGATCGAATTTCTAGAGTTTTCATAAAATTAGTTATGGGCGGGTAATAAATATAAATAAAAATATTTCTGCCATGACTTTAATAAAATAAAACTTATTTTTAATAATTTCTATCATCTATGAATAGTTTCTGAAAGTTTCATTAACATCTGACAATTATTTTTATTTTTTCAAGATTTTCATAATTAATGTGTGTCATACAATAAATAAATAAATAAATAAATAAAACGAGCTAAAAATTGTATATATTATTTTACTAGTTCCAGTGATAGAAAGAGAAACAATGTTTTTTAATTAAAATTTAGAATGTTGTAAAAAGAAGGAAAATTTTTTAAAAATAATTAAAAAAAACTTTGGTCATTCTTCTTAATGATAACAAACATTTAGACGATAAAATTTTGTTTTCGTCAAGTTTGGCGTCTTTTTCATCATGCTGTGCTCTTTTTTTTAGCGATCTCGTGGAGTTAACTACTAAAGTGACATGGTATTTATAAAAAATAAAAATGCATTTAAATTGTTTACCATTTGCTTCGGGTAAGCGGGTCATGACCTAAACTGCGGCGACAGTCTGTCTAATGATTGAATGCAATATTCAGGGACGTTTTATATATATATATATATATATATATATATATATATATATATATATATATATATATATATATATATATAATCAACTGTTACATTGGAACATGCAAGTTATCGCAACAAAAATGCATAATTTTTCTCACGGCTGTTTAATCCCTTGTTTCTATCATATAGGAAAATTCAACATGGCGCGTAAACGAAATATTCGGCAAAAAATCTCATTCGTCAGTAACATTTTAAACACCTCATAGAATGTAAAGTTCTTAAAGAAAACCTATTCCAAACTGTTTTCCTGAATCCTTGATGACTTGGCTGTCCGAAAATGATAATATCAAGATGAAATAATGGAAACTGACCGTGAAAAATATAATTATGCGCAACAGGTTTTCGATCAATTAGTAAACTTCTGGACCTTTTAGGGCGACTTTATAGGATCCAGACGGCTATTGTTTGCACATGGAATTATTCACTGGTAATTAATCTTCGATTTGGCTGTGGAAAGTTTCACTCGGCGGTTAGCATTAAGAAATTATGCCCAATTTTCTGAGAAAAATCCCCTTTTTTTAATGAAAAAATATTTATTTTCACTTCAAAATAACATCATTCAAAATTCATTCCTTTCTCTTTCATTTGGCATGAACATCATTGAATAAAAAGAACGGCTAAATGGACCAGCGATGGGAAATACGAAAGATATGCGGCGAAAAAAACAATGTCGTCTGCTAAGTGTTGTTGTCATCACCCGGGTCACGGGGTGTTAAAAACAAAACAAAACTCATCAAGCCATTGTTCAAACATAGGTTATATCAAGCCCTAGTAATGTTGAACCCTTTTTTTTCACTCTTTGCTTTTATCTGGAAGTGGTGGGTTTTATTACAACTTGTTCTAAGGTTTTCTGTTTATTGCTGGCTGACTTTTGATCTAGACGTCAAAGTCAATTAGGTTTAATTTTCCTTATCGCTATTTTTTGGAAAAAAAAAAACTTTTGGTTTCTGGTGGTTAGGAATTGCAGATAAATCTCTTGCCATTTACTAAAGATTTCCGTAGCTGGGTGTCAATTTTTTTTTAACCCTTGGCAGTCATATAATTGAAAATTAACAATGGATTTTGTCACATTTTGTTCACCTAGGAATGTTGATTTCCTTCAAAACTCTCAATTTTATGCCTGAAATAGTTTGATTATGATTTAGGCTTTCTGATTTTCAAAAAAAAAAAAATGGTTAATTTCCCATTAATGGAAGAAATATTTGTTTAGAACAAGAAAAAATGCAAAATTTTCACTATTTTTTCACATTTTACCCCCTGAAAAAAAATTTTGAGTCATTTACACCAGCCAATTTTACTTTTAAATGAAAGAATATATCTTTTGCTTTCAGAAAATACCTAGTTTCATGGGGTTCAGATCAAAAGTTTCCTTGATATTAGTTTAGATGATGATAAAACAGTCATTTTTCAATATTTTACCCTATAAAAGTATGAAAATCCATTTTTTGAGAGAAAATAAGCTGTGACAAAATGACTTGCCATTTTTGTGATGATTTTCACTTGGGAAAGAAAATTTTTACCATAGGAAACCTGAATTGACTTTATTTAAGTTCAGTGGGGCTATAGGAAACCTCAAACAGCTGTTTTCTATGTCCAAAGTTTGATAAATGTTTAAAATTTATTTTAGTTTTTAATTTAAATTAAATATATAAAAGTCATATAAATGTTTCAAATGAAATTTGTATTCTAATTTATAAAGTAAGGTTAGTATAGTTAAGTTTTGTTTTATTTTTATATGGTTTTTCTTATAATGTCTAGTGTCTTTTATTTACGTATTATTGTTATGATGAAACACACCTATTCTATAGTTAATAGACTCTCCCACCTAATATAAGTAGGAGTAGTAAGAGAAACGAGGGTCAGTCGATGTCGGACGACATTAGTCGACAGTTAGTCGAATACGAAAGTAGTCAGCGACCCCAGCGAGATTACTCTGCTTAATACCTATTATATCAAGTTTCTAACGTTTTGTACGTCGAACCTATTTAGGACCGATTTAGTACAAATACAAATCTCCACTGCGAAATAACTCCACAACAGTTATGTTCAATATGGTTAATTTTATGCAAAATATTATAAAGTTTGAATTGTATATGTAATATGTTTCCTATTTTGTTGCGTTATATTTCCGTTCAACTTTGAATTTTCCATCTTAACATGTCTTCGTTGGCTGAATCTGGTATCAAAAACTTCTCATATCTTATTTTTTTCTGTTTCTTTTTCATTTCTATCTGTAAAATTTGGATATACTCTTCTTTTTCTTTTCTTTTCTTTCCCTTCTCTTTGTAGTAGGGTTGATTTCTTATACT